ATTATCGGCATGGTATTGTTATTGATATGATATGTTATTGATCTCATGGCGGAGAGGAAAATTCAAAATATCGGTGGTGTGGAAGTTTTATTTTTTGTTGGTGAGGATGTCGGATTCCGAAGATTTATGGACTATGTTGAGCCTCGCTACATCGTTCGCAGTTGGAGATATTTTTCCGACGTAACCTTACCCGAGTTACAAGCCATCATTTCCGACGTCGTTGAGAAGCTAATAGCCAATAGCACGACTTGTTGGGTGAGTTTTACCACATACATTTGGATGTCGTGTTAGCCCTGTTAGCATGATTAGTCTTACAGCACAATGGATAGACAAACATTTTGAACTTAAAAAGTCTGTCCTTCATGCACAAGAGTGCAGAGGATCCCACACTGCAGCTAAGAACCTGGAACAAGCCTCCACAAGTGAGACAGCATCGCAGGTGACTAATGTTAATATATAACATTTAACACTTTTCATTTAATATAAGTTAAAGTGCTATGCATATCATATGGCTGTTACTGAATATATGTCACCAGCTCTTACAGCTGTTGCACAATTTTTGTAACAAATAAGCCTAAATAAGAAGCTATGTTCTGACAAAGGAAATTATATTTGAAATATCGGTATCGGTTATCGGTCAAACAAGTTTTAACATATTGGATATCAGCCAAAAATCCAATATAGTGTATCCCTAATATATATATACACATATATATGAGATGCTCTATATTTTTATCTCTTTTCATTTGCAACAAATTTTCCACAGGAATTTTACAAAGGAATGTAAAAAACAAGTGAGCAAAGAAACATGACAACATTGTTTCTCAAGCAATATTATCTAAGATGGACAGGGTTCCTGCTGAAGTGGAGCAGAATGCCAAGGTCGCAATAGTAATCCATGACCTCATTCATGACAGATTAGATACGAAAAAAAAAAAATAAAGAAAAAATACTGGCTTTGATTTTGATTAAGAATTATGGGGTTAGGAGATTAGAGCCAAGCAAATGCTATTACACTGGACAGAGTCCAATCTCTGAATTAATCCAAATACAAACAAAAAAAACTCATTACATGAAAAGATTAAGAAAAGCTTGGTCCAGTTCTTTTGGGTTGTACACAACCAGGACACTGGATCTTCCTAGAGAAGTGCCATAATAAAAACTTGAGTCATTTACAGACACACACACATGCACACGCACAATATTGTTTTCTTTTTTTTTTTTTCAGATTTCATTACTTTTTCCTAAGAGTCCACTTGAAATTTACTGACAGAGCTGAAAGAGAGCAAAATGCTGGAAAATTTGAGCTGCTGCAAAGAGAAGATTACATAGGATGGATAAGAAGTATAAAAAGGAATACAAGTGAACTAAAACCACCGCCTTTTTGTATATTTTGCTTTTTGACCCAACATAAATTCAGAAGACTGTAACAGCCATGGGGCAGCACGGTGGCGCAACTGGTAGAGCTGCTGCCTCTCAGCGAGAAGGTCCTTGGTTCAAACCCCGGTCCAGGGGCCTTTCTGGGTGGAGTTTGCATGTTCTCTCCGTGCATGCGTGGGTTTTCTCCAGGTACTCCGGTTTCCTCCCACAGACCAAAAACATGCATGTTAGGCTGATTGGTAACTCTAAATTGTCCCTAGGTGTGAGTGAGAGAGTGAATGGTTGTTTGTCTCGTTTGTCTCTATGTGTCCCTGTGATGGACTTGCGACTCGTTCAGGGTGTACCCCGCCCCTCGCACAGTGATTGCTGGACATGGGCACCAGCGACCCCCATGACCCAAAATGGAATAAACGGGTAAAGAAAATGGATGGATGGATGGTATGCAGATATAAAACAAACAATCTCAAACCAAGTTGTCTTCCTTGCATTTTTCTAGAAACTTTTAACTGATGTATATAAAAGCCTAATGCAGATCAATCATGTGGCTGACGTTTCAGTTTAGCTGATTCAGGGCAGTACTTTATGTTGGGTGCATACCCACATGTCAAATATGCATTTTAATTCATCTATAGAGCTATTGGAGAAAACATTTTCAAGCGGCACATTTTAAAATAGTTCAAGATTTATTTATTTATTTATTTTTTTATATAGATTGCAATGAGTGCTTTTAGCTCCAAACAAACAAAAAAAACTTTACAGCAGAATATCTTTGAAGATACTTGGACCCCCCAAAAAATGCAGGATATGTTTCAATTTCTTTTTTTATTTGTTTCAGACTATGAGAGATGCATGATATATGTATGATGAACCTGCAGGAATTTTAGTGAACATTGTAGCAGGTAAATAACATGTTTGCCAACGTTAGCCAATCTTATTTTGGCAGAAACTGCTCACTTTTGAATGCATCCCACATCAAGCATCCGCTGGGACCAGCAGTGACAGCTGGGAGAAACATGTCCCCCTTCAAGCTTTCAAACTTGACAAAAGAAAAAAAAGATGCTGCATTTTGAGCTAAAGAAGAAAATTTTGTTTTCTGCTAAACCCACTGATATAT